GCCTCCACGCAGACACTCCAGGCGAAACCCTTGCTGGAACACCAATCTTGGGTGCGTGTTACCGCCACAAAGAAGCGAGTCCCGGGTTAGACCAGACTCCGTCAGCGCTGTCTGTAGGGCTGCCTCGTCGATGACGGCCGGTATGCGATTCGGCGCATCTCCTGGACTGAAACTACCTTGGCTACTAAATAGCCTAGCCAATCTTTCGACGTTTTCCTCATTCAAGTTTTTAGAGTTAGGAAACTCGAGGTTCTGGATACTCACCGCCGCTCTTCCAACGTACTTGACAGTTTTCTCCGCACTTATGCGGCGAGATACCGCTTGAAATCCACTCCTAGACATGCTGTGTAAAAGTATAGTACGCGTACAATCCAGAAAGAGTAGACAAAGAAGTATTAGTAGGGGCGAGGGAAACTGACTTTATGTAACGGACGCCAGCTGGAGAACCGGCCAGAATCTGCCACTCAACTGCAGCTATCCCATAAGAGCACAATCTGACGGCTTTTCCTTGTCGGCTGCGATTCATGTACTTTATTTAATCCTTCAGATTTTATTTGGTCGTGCAGATATTTGCCGTTAGCATATACGATACATGGCGAATATGAGTGAGCGTCGCGGCAAAAGACCTCCCACGCAAATTGACCTGCAAGATGCTCTTGCGCGAGCTACCCCGGAAACAGATCCTCGAATCGAGGGCCCCAACAGCGGGTCGCTTGATAACCGCTTCCCACTCAAGCGGCTTAAAAAGAAAGATCAAGATGCATCCATGCCCATTGGAGTTCATCAGCAGTCCACAAAAAGTGACGCCGGTTTGAAAGCGGCAGCACCCCGGGCGCCCAAGTCGTCATGGCAGACCTACGAGAAACTATTTGACCTTCAACTCGGAGACAATGACTACTTTACTGTAGCAGAAAAAAAGGTCCCCGACGTTGAAAGCAATTCTGTGGTGATCCTCAAGACTTTTACGGGCACAAAGGCAGAAAGCCATGTGCAGGCGATACGGGGAATCCAGCACAACCGCTTTGTCAACGCTCACCTCTTTTTTGCCATAGATGATGGATACCTCGTTTCCTTCGAGTTCATGCCTATGGCACTGTGCGAAGTTGCAGGTAATCCTCTTCTGAATGACCTGCGACTGGCATCGATATTAGGACAGGTGAGCTGTGTTCAAACGCGTATATGTGTCGCCGTCTAAAGCGCCGCAGATTGTCGATGGACTGTTATATCTCGAGCAGAAATCCCTAGAACATTCGCAACTCACTTGTTCTAATATCTTAATCGATACCCTCGGCAACGTCAAGCTATGTATATACGCCTATAGACTGCGACCCATTCCCCGCTGACTGTTGGCCAGGGGGCCAAGAACACATTCGAAGCTCAACAGCAGCGTGCCCGCATGCGAAGGCTGTCGGGGACATTATTATGTACCTTGCACATGGGCAGGCGAACGAATCTGACAATGTCGGGCTGGACGATCCCGGACGGTTCCCGCTGGCCTTCGAATTTCTTTCTGCGACGCAGAGAACTTCTAAGATAGCCTCAGTCGCACAAGTGAGTCGCCCTGATGTCGTGCAAAGACTTATTACGGCGCTGACTATGACAGGAGCCTTTATTGAAAGAACTTCCCTGGCACAAGACAAGGCTCGCAGGACTAGTCACTTTGACAAGCACGTGGATTGGCAGCGGATATAGATTCCCCGCAAAAGAATAGAACGGTCACTGGCTCATGGCAGAACGCCTAGCATTGACAAACAGAAAACAAATACGCATAGTAGATTGAACAAGGCGACACTGCCCAAATTTATCTCAAGATGTGACGCGAAGACGCTCCATGGCTGATAACATGGTGTCCACAATGCCATTTAAATACAAAGTCAACAACTAAAAACTAAGTCTGCTAAGCGTTGGTGTCCTTTAGCAGAAAAGCCCGCGTCGCGCATTAATGCGTCATGGCTGATAGGCAGGGTACATGATATCTATATTACTGCGCCGATTCTGCCACAACAGATCGTTCAACGCGTCGCGCATGGCAACCTTCGCAGAAACTGCTAAGATGATTAGCTTTGCCATTAAGCAGCAAGACAACACACCTGAGATAACTGTCCTGCTCTCAGGTCGTCGTTCTCGAAGCTCCGACGAGACAATGTCCGCAAGAGGTATTTCACCGGAATAAGCTGTGGCTCTGTCGCCGAATCTTACTTCATTTATATTCTCTGATTTGATGTAGATTGAGATGCGGAGATTCTACGTAGACAGGTAAGTATGGCAGTCACTGGCTGCAAGGTCGACGTACATATTCTCCATCAAGCTTGTCTTCGTCGAGCGCCTCGTTCAACAATTTCTGAGCGGCGATTCCGACGTCTCGAAAAGGTCAGCACGCGCATGCTGCATCCATCATATAATTCTTACCTCTCCTCTCTATCTGCCATACTAGATGAATCCTGCGCGTTGAAGTCGCGCGACCGTTTTGATTGTGAATCAGCTTCCGCAGATACGGCAAGTGCGCGGCAATGCCAAATCCGGTGGCCAGCATAACAACATTTTCATATGAATGTACTGGTAGCTGTTTGCCATGCGGACCGCTGAACATTGCCCTGCGTGTGGTCGGGCCGTGTTCCGATAGAGCGAACAGATTTTTGGTGAAGCCGCCGCGAGGCTCGATAAACAGGTCGAGATGCTTCTGCGGCTTTTCAGACCAAGATATCACAGTAAAAGGATGTGTCTGTGCGGCCGACCCCGGACTGGCCCACGGAACCCAAAGGCCTATGTACTGTCCAGCTTTCACCTTCAGCGGCCTAGACAACTGCAGGCTTATTTTGATTGCGCCATTGTCGTATGTTATTCGTGCCGTAGAGAGCCCTGACCTATTCCGATACGAGATGTTGGCGAGCCAGAAGATAGAGGTTGTAGAGAATAGAGCCCCGCCAATGTATAGGTACAAGCGCGGAAACAGATCGGCGGATGAGGCATGCCGCCAAAGACCGTACACGAAGGCGAAGGAAAGTAGCTGGTGGATACGCAGGGCGGCTTCGTACGAGACGCTTCGCAGTGCCAAAGGTATCACCTGCGCGCACAGACATAGAATGGACTGCCAATCTTATTGTTAGAAATTGGCCATACTTGGGCAAAGCAACATACCATCAAGGCAAACACATCTTTTGGTGTGTGCAGATCCAGTCTTCCCTTTGCTGTGCCAGCTGCCGCGGCATGGAAGACCGCAAGAGCCACTGCGATAGCCCCCGCTGAAGCGTGAAGGCGTCGGCAGGATCGGAGCGACAAGCCAAGGATATCCGCGAGTAAACCAAGGTATGGGCCTGCGAAGCAGAAGATAAAGTTGACGACGGAGAGAGTGCCAGATCGAAGAAAAGCCTGATCCATGCTGGGGTGGGGAGCTACAATGCAAGAAATAGTGACCCCTACATACGCTAAAAGTAACAAGATATCACTACGACTCCAGCGATCAAGACATTTACCGCCGCGTACCACAGTTGGGTAGACAAAGTAGTCAGCCACTACTCTTCCCATCGTATCGACAGGAAGAAGCATCATTTTTAGCGCAAGCGGGCAATATGCCTGTGTAAAACGGTAGACTGGAAGGCGTAGAGCCAGTAGGCAAAGCAAGGCACCACAGACCACGGAGTACAATAGGGTGATTTCGTACATTGCCACAGTAATGTTGGTAGAAAAGGAATTCGGGTCGAAAAAAGTACAGGTTCGATGTTTATATGATTTGCCTAGCTGTGGTAGCAGCCATTTGCACACAAAAGGCTGTTTGTCTGATGACTATCCATGGTCGTTTCGGCTGCCACCATTGTAACCAAGCCGCTAATAAGTCGCTGCTGCGGTGTCTAATTCGAAGTCTCTGACTTGGTTGAATTCTCAACACGAGTGCACATATACCAACGTATATCTACCATATAACAATTTAATGGCTGGTGGTGACTTTTGGCTCCAGTTTCGCAGTGAACAATTACGATGCAGCTGCGAGCGGGAAAAGCCAACGCTGAAGTGCCCGATGTTGGGAGTGACGAGATGCCGGGTAGCTCAATTCCGAGGCCATCCAGGTAAACTCTCTAACTTGTCCTCCAAAAGCAGTTTCCATGTTCCCCAATCTGGCAATGTACAGAGCAGAAAATTGATTATGTACTCATCAGCCATGTTTGGTTCTTCTAGAAGCGCTCACTCAGCGTTGGGAAGACTTACGCTCCATGGTTTAAACAGTGAGAATGAGCCAGCTGTGTTTAACAGGCGACGGCGATGCTAGTGGGAGCTCTCTCCTCCGCTAAATCGTAGTCCCACTACATTTCAGGTACGGTACGTACATGTAAGGGTTTCAGCACTGCACCGATGAAGCTCCCCCTCAGCCCTTCTTTTCTCCTATTCTTCTTTTTTCCTCTATTTGGTATAAAATGACGAGCCATTTCTAGCTGCCACCGTCTACACAATTTTATCGGAGCACCCTGGCCCCCGTCATTCGCCAAGAAGTAGTCATCCATATCAGACTGCAGAGCTATTAGTGGACTACTTGACTCCACTAACCCCACTCACACCAAACCCCGAATCCCAGAGTAAATAGTGGCGAAGCAGGGTCCCGTCATGATCAGCTCCATGGACGGCTCAACAAGGCGGGAAATGGCCTGTGGGTAAGATTGGTTACCTTGGTCCAGCAAGCGCCTCACTACGTACTGATGACGCTCCCAGGGGCCAGCATCGTTCGAGGAATTCAGAGTCTCATTGTATTTATTGTTTTCTAGTCTGTTTAAAAGTGCAGTATCATGGCTGTCTCACCAGGGCTTGAGGGCTCGATACCATCCTATCTATGTAAGCCCCCAAGGGTACTGGTGGCTTGTTTCTACTTGTAAACCCTTGAACCTTTGTATTGTGCTCTTCGGGTTTTAGACCACTAGGATCGGGCTTCTGTGGGATTTCGTGCAATGATTGTGAAACCTAGCAAAAGAATGATACAGAATGATACCAAAAACACACCATCCAAAAGGAATCAACCAAAAAAAAGTCCCCGAAGTCATTTCGATGGAGCGCATGGACCCGAGGCTCCCCCGTTCCTGACAGTAGCTCGCTCGCTCGTTCAAAACAGCGTGTGTAGTTGAGGCAGACCCCGCCACGTAGGGCACGTGGGGGTGCTCCTCCCCACAATTTGGGCAACACTGAGTGGGCATGGCGAATTCACTGTTAAGGGCTGCCAATCTAAACCGTGAGGTTCACTCACGGATGATGGGGCGCTACATTGAGGCGCGTGCGTCACTGCTGAGACGATCCATCCCAATAGCCCGCTTCATCTTCTTCTCTGTGCGAACGTGGTCGACGGCGAGCAGCATTAGCTCCCGTACATCCAATTTTTTCCATGGAAGTTGAAGTAACGCGCTCTAGTTTGCTGTCAGTACATACTCACTCGCAAGGTGGGGTTATTGCTACCTTTTTGAGGGCGTTCAAGCTTGTAGTCGGCCGTGACACGGTCTGCCAGAACTCAACAGCATGAGTGCCTCTTGCCCACTTTGTCGCATCACTGCGCACACGTTCCGAGTAAAGCCAAGGGTACATTAGATGCTGTGTGAGCGGCAACAGCTGTAGAGGTAGCGTTTTCCCTTTCTCGCACCAGTCTAGGCCGCCTTGTGTGCGTCAGTATGTTGGATTTGGTAGCATAGGCAGTCCAACTCACTTATTTTGACATTCCCCGCGAAATCAGCCAGGACTTGCGACTCAGTGAAGCTAGTGTGACAAAGCCCAGCACTCTCGAGATATGAGAGCCCTTCGATGGCCTGACGGTATCAGTTGCTGTAGCAGTAGTGTGGTATT